TCGGTGACAGTGGTGTTGGATGAAGATGTGAGTCGTCAGATCACTTTGACAAGAGACGGGGAGGTCATAATTGGTGTCAACCCAGCTTCTGTGCTGCCCTACACTGATGGTAAACATTTCAAAAAGCTGAGATAATAACATTTTTGTTGACACATTCAACAATGTTTTTTTTCTTTTTCTTTTTCTTTTTGGCTATATAGATACGGTGGAGGTCCGAAAGCTGACCTCTGTGTTTGTACAGCTGAAAGTGGCTGATGGCCTGCGGTTGCAATATGATAGTCAAGGGGGGCGAGTGTACCTGCAGCTGCACAGCAAATGGCGAGGACAAACGCTGGGCCTGTGTGGAACCTTCAATGGAAATCTTCGCGATGACTTCCTGTAAGAAAGTATTATATCAATCCTACTTTCAATGCAATGTCACAGTTTCCAACCTCCAACGTAGCACCTCCCATTAGTTGTTCATCTTTTTTTGCAAAGTGGGCTCCAGACATTAAATGTAAGATTTTGTGTAGGTACACATCAAATGAAGGGCTGGTAACATGTTGACTTAGACAGAGGTGTGGACTCGTGTCACATGACTTGGACTTGAGTCGGACTCGAGTCATCAATTTGATGACTTTAGAAATGTCAAGAGACTTGCCACTCGACTTGGACTTTAACATCAGTGACCCGTGACTTCACTTGGACTCGAGCCCTTCGACTCGACAAGACTCGATGCTTTCTCCAAAACACAAAGTGATCTGTGTAAATATATTATTATTTTGTTTAAAAGGACTCGAAACAGAAACGTAAGGACTTGGGACTTGACTTGACACTTTTCAGTCTTGACTTGAGACTCGATTCGGACTTTGCCTGTCTTGACTTGAGACTTGACTCGGACTTGAGAGCAAAGACTTGAGACTTACTTATGACTTGCAACGACTTGGTCCCACCTCTGGACTTAGATGCTAGCTCTCTTTTTTTTTTAAGACGAAAAATCACATCTTTCTTACGCAAGTCTACGTCGTAGACATCTGAGCCTTAGCCTTAAGATTGTGTTGTCTGCATATGTATGCCTGTTTGTCTGTGTGCATGTTTGTCCGTGTTCATGGTTGTGTGCGTCTATACGTGCAGTTCCCCAGCAGGTATGATTGAGGGCACTCCTCAGCTCCATGCCAATGCTTGGAAAGTGTCATCCGCTTGTGCAGCTCCGGTTAACCTGCCTGTTATTGATCCCTGTGAGATGAACCAAAATAATGGTAATTATTTAATCATTTACCTTTTTGGAAATATCTAAAGCCTAGAGTGCCCTCTAGTAGTGTGCAAGTACCAAACGTGAAATTATATATTTTAATATATAAGTCGCACCTGAGTATAAGTCGCAAATCCAAAGCCAAAGTATGAAAAAAAAAAAGTGCGACTTATAGTCCAGAAAATACTGTACATGAAAACATATATATATATATATAATGACTCTGATCTTCTGTGTGTTCTGCTGTATTTTCTAGTGTACTATGCATCCCAGTGTGACACACTTATGGGGAGTGTATTTGCTCCATGCCATGGCTACATCAGTCCAAACATTTATCAGCAGCAATGTCGCTACCAGTCCTGTCGCTGTGGGAGCAGTTGCCTTTGCACAGCCCTGGCTCACTACACTTACCTCTGTTCCAAACATGGCGTCGTCGTTGACTTTAGATCACAGGTCTCTGAATGTGGTAAGTGGTTTGAGTTATTTTGTATATTTTTCAAGCCTTCAAGTTCAGTTGACCTCGTCTGTGACGCAAAACCCAACGCAGTGAATAATACACAACAAAGCCAGATTAAAACGAATGTCATTTCAGTTGAACAATTCCTAACCTTTAACTGTTGACTTCATTATTAACAGTGGTTTAACTGTGACGCTGACAACCGTTGACAACAACGTCTCACCTGTGAATTTGACTCTCCATCAACTACAGTCTCCTCAGAACAGGTTCCTTTTTTTCTTTTGTCTAACGAGCAGTGAAGAACATCAGCCTCAGGTGTGTCACTTTTGAATTTCAGCCCCTGCGCTGTGATTGGTCATCATCAGCCAGTCAACAGGGTTTACCAAAGATTCAGCACTCAGGGGTTATAAATGACTCTGCTACAGTATATGAACCTACAGTTGAGCGTGAGTGTAGGAATAAATATTGACTCTTAAACATAGATTTATAAAAAAATAAAATAGTAAAAAAAAAAGTCAGTGCTACTTCTACAACTATAATGATTTATTGGCTGTATTTACTGAACATACAGACATCAATTAAGGTATATATACATATATATGTATACATGTGTATATATATATACATATATATGTATATATATGTATATATATATATATCCACATATGTATGTATATATGTATTTATATATTTATATATATATATATATATGTACAGTGGGGCTTCAAGATTTTAGTCGAGTTTAATCCGTTCCACAACAGCACTCGTATGTCGATCTGCTCCTATCGCTATTGCATTTTCCCCATTAATAATATCTAAAAACCACATCAGAAACACAGATACAAACAACTATATTGATAATCAAAAAAATAATAATAAGTAAGAAAATAGTTTAGATTATTGTTATAAAAATTAAATAAAAAAAAAAAAAACAACACACCTAATCATACTACACAGATAATGATACTAGTCTTGGACGGAAAATTAAAATATAAAACAAACGAATACAGTATAATGTTAAATACTGCACAGACACCGAGATAAAGTTGTAGGAAATTGAAAACTGTTTTGCTTTGTTTGTTATTTTTGCACTCACATGATTTATCATGCACTGTAATACCGTAATGTTTGTTGTTTTTTGGCATTAACAGGAGCAGTGTGTCTTGGTGGTATGTTGTATCATTCTTGCGTGTCGTTTTGCGGACGATCCTGTCGAGCTCTGTCTGACTACGAGGAGTGTGATTCTGCCGACTGCGCCGAGGGCTGCGGCTGTCCTGAAAGCACTTTTTATGATGACGTGCGTCAACGCTGCGTACAAAAGTAAGGCTTGGTGATTCTGTGGTAATGTCATCAAAATATAGAAAAATGCCCACAAATAATAATAATAATAATAACAACAATAATAATAATAATATCATGGCTTGTCCTTAGATCTCAGTGCCACTGTTACACCATGGCAGGTGCATTCCAGCCAGGTGAAGTGAGCTTCAGTGCTTCTGGCCCTTGGTGAGTCATATTTGGCTTTAGGTAAAATGTGAAACCTAACATTCCTGCGCACACATTTAAAAAACGAAATTTTGACTTGAATGAATGATAGATTTTCTTTTAATTCCATTTCAACAATTTGCATGCCAGCCTTTGCAAAGATGGGAAGCTGGAGTGTATTTCAGAGGAAAAAGGTAATTTTTTTTCTTTGCTTCCTGCCTTTGCGTTTTCACAAAATGGCCCGGTATCATATGTTTTACCTGTTGTTACCCATGACTTTTGATGCCGTATTATATGAACTTCTTTATGTTCTCAAAAAAAAAAAAAAAAAAGGAAACAGTGTTGTTCCACAAAAGACAAAATTATAAAGAGGTCCCAAAGGTGCACACAGATGTTATTGCACTTTGTCTACAAAGCAGTATCCTTAAAATAAAGTGCACAATACACACATAGCAATTACCGTAATGACCCGAATTTAGGACGACCCCGCCAAATCATTGAAATAATAATTACACACTGCTTCCATTTTTTTTTTGCTATGAATACAGTTACTACGATCTGTATTTTAGATCCAATACCTAAATAGCTAGCGCCCTCTGCTGTTAGCTGTGTATAGCGACCCCAGCCTCGAGCAGCTAGCGCCCTCTGCTGTTAGCTGTGTGTAGCGACCCCAGACAATTATCAGCAAGTGTCAACGGTTAGACCCAGGTCGTATGATACTTTTTCAACGAAAATAAAACTCGTCCTCTATTCGGGTTAATACGGTGAGTAAACCCACGCAATTAATTATAGAAGAAACATCTTAATTATGCACAAAATAGCAGAGGTGTGAACTCGAGTCTCATGACTTGGACTCGAGTCAGACTCGAGTCATCAATTTGACTTTAGACTCGACTTGACAAAATGTAAAGAGACTTGCAACTCGACTTGGACTTTAACATCAGTGACTCGTGACTTCACTTGGACTCGAGCCCTTTGACTCGACATGACTCGAGACTTTCTCCAAAACCCAAAGTGATCTGTGTAAATATATTATTATTTTGTTTAAAAGGACTCGAAAACAGAAACATAAGGACTTGGGACTTGACTTGACACTTTTCAGTCTTGACTTGGACTCGACTCGGACTTTGCCTGTCTTGACTTGAGACTTGACTCGGACTTGAGTGCAAAGACTTGAGACTTACTTCTGACTTGCAAAGCAATGACTTGGTCCCACCTCTGCAAAATAGGGTAAATAAGTATTGATTTTTATATAGTACACATATATCCTTTGAGTGCTTCAAGTTATTTCCTGTTGATATTATTAACACAACTGTATGTGTATGTGTGTGTGTGTGTCTGTGTTTGTGTGGACAATCAATGTAGAGCCCGAAGAAGTAGGGGAATGTCAGGAAGGTAAAGTGTACAACAGCTGCATTGACCAGAGAGGAGGTATGGCCTGTGCACCGACCTGCCGAAACCTGATGTTGAATCTCACATGCCCTCCGAATACGCCATGCATACCTGGCTGTGTCTGTCCCCCTGGGTAAACAAAGAACAGGCTGCTTACCAATAGAATAATGTTGTGGATTGCTCTTAGGCTTAGAGCAAGTGTCTTCCTTGCTTTGGTTTTAGATGTAATTCTGCTGATAGGCGAAACGTCTTCGAAAAATGAAAAAAACAAAAAACAAAACATACTTTGTTGTCTGTTTGTTTATGGTTTATTTTACTACAGACTAAGTGAAAATTCACTTTCGAATTTTCTTCTAAGTGAAGGTCAGAAGAAAATTAAAAAAAAAAGAAGAAGTTTCTCATTATCGTGTTTCCATTTTCCCTTAAACCCTTGCTGTTACACTTTTCCCCCCAAAATTGTCAGCGTTCGTAAAAACACGCCCACTCTTTCGGCATTCTTTTCTTGTGGTTGCGTGAATATCGGCCGGATGTTCATCTAAGTACATTAGCGTGACTGTGATCAGTTCTCCGAACATAGAAAGAATGGCTTATTCTGTCCTCAAATTGTACAGACTTTGACCACATAAAAGTAACCTATGATCACCTCTTTGATAAACCAATAAAATCACGTCACTGCTACATTAAGAAATGTAACCGTCCTTGGGTGGTTTCAAACCAGCAACCTTTCGGTTAACAGCCGAACGCGCTGGCCGATTGTGCCACAGAGACCGATGTCAGGCATTAAAATGAAGGTCAGAAGAAAATTTAAAAAAAAAAAAAAACAAGTTTATTTTATTATATATTGTTAAGAAACTCTTGAAGACTCAGCTCTTCAGAGAGCACCTCCTGTCTTTCCTGTCCTCCTCTACCTCTGTTTCCTAACTACCTGGTTTCCTTTCAAGGGTTCCTTTATGTAACCTGATTGTTGATCCTACTCTTGGAAGTCGTTTTGGATAAAAGCGTCTGCCAAATGTTTAAATGTAAAATGAAAGGCTTCCATGCCTAGGAGAAAGCAGGGGTTACTCCAGAAGTTGGAGCTTAACGTTTTTTTTCTTTTCATGGACCTGGTCATAAATGACTCATGGACATTCGGTACCCTGTTTGCACCAGGGTCCTAGCCTCCTGACAGTAGCACGAGGACTGTTAGTCTAGGATATCGTAGTACGTGAAAGTGTTGACTAATACACAACTGCCCTGCTTTTTATTTTAAAAAAATGTTTAATCTCATTTAAGACTGCTGCTGCATCATGGGAAATGTTACTATCCAGAGAACTGTCCCTGCGCTTGGTTGGGGCTCGAATACCTACCGGGAGAAACCATAGAAACGTTGTGTTATAAATGGTAAACGGCCTTTTGCAGCGTAAGACACGTAGTAGTTAAATGGTTTGGATTCATTTTCGTACCTTTCCTCTTTGGTAGTATTTTGATGACTTTATATTTTTTTATTTCCAATTCTCCATTTCCTCAGTGTGTGCCATCGTGGCTATTTCAACTGCAGCTACTCTCAGTGTCCGTCTGTGTGCACCATCTACAGTGACAGACATTACCACACTTTTGACGGCCTTGAGTATGACTACTACTCTGATTGCCAAGTCTACCTGCTAAAAGTAAGTGTTTAGACTTCCCGTTGTTCCACCACCAATGTAACACAAGCGGGGACCTCGCTGTTCAACGTTGTCGAATAATCATC